TTGATGATTAATCTCTTTTTAAATAATTACTTTAATGTATTAAAAAAATTAACTTTTTTTAGATGTTGATATCAGATTTGAACTGCCTTTTTTTTAATATACATAATTACCTGCGGTTTGCGGATCACAACAATGGGGTTGTTCATCTTTTTCTTTTGATATACAAGGGTTATATAATTTATCTTCATTGCAAATAGTTTTGTTTAAGGGGTAAGGGCTAAGTTAATACTAATTGAACTTATGGGACTCAATTACAAAAATAGTGTAAGTTAAGGGTCTACTTTATGCGTTTTCCTTTTTTCCCAATAAAAAACTCTGTCCCCGCAGTTCAATGTTGTTGGGCTCGGCCCATATATTTGGTCCAAGGACACCTGTTTATTTCGCACATGTCAACTATGGCACCTGCGAAGCCACGTGGACCGCGAAGCAAGAATTTGAATCGCCGAACTGAACTCGTTTTCCCTCTCAGGACTAGCGAACTTGAGCGGAGAAAAGGGAGAAAAAGGGAGCACGCATCCACTGTTCGACAAAATGCCAACAAGAAAACCAACGGGCAACACACAGCAGGATACTCCTCTCCGCAGATCCCCAAGGCTCCTTCAACTGAACAAGATTACAAAATCACCGGAATCGAGTCTCCACAAGTCAAAATCTGGAAGCAATCGGGTACGTTCTGTGTCTCTTCCTCGCGCTTCTACTTCCGCACGAATCAATCTAGAGGAAAAGTCAGATGAAGCTTGTGTGGATACTGTTTCCAAGGAATCGAGAAAACCGAGTAATGATGTACAGAATGGGGGTGATGGGTTTTCTTTCCTTAGGCGGTCCCCGAGGTTTTGTAACAAGGGAAGAGACGACGGAGCTGTTCAGAATGATAGGAGTGATGGCTCTAGGAAGGTTAGTGAATGTGTTTCGGATAAAGCTGCGAAGAAGAATAAGGGAAGGAGTAGAGTTTTTGGTTCTGTGAATGAGTCCATCAATGCGGAGGTTAATGGAGGGAGAGGTGAAGAGGGTGAAAATTTCAGGAACCAAAATGGGGAGAAAAGAAAATTGACATTTATTGTTGGTCTGAGAGCCCTCACGGCAGAGGAAAGGAGGCAAGGGAAAGTTGCTTGTCGAGGGAATAAAGTGATTGAGGCTAAGTTGAAGAGAAAGTGCAGGGAGGAGGGTAATGGGGTTGTTCAAGGGTGGACGAAGGAACAAGAAGTGGCGCTGCAAAGAGCCTATTTTGCTGCCAAGCCGACACCACATTTCTGGAAGAAGGTCTCCAAGCTGGTATTTTACCATTCCTAATATCTGAAAGTCTTTTCATTTTTTTTTCATTGCATAGAATTGGGCATTTTCTAATTAACATGGTCCTTGTTGTAATTGCTATTGCTTCATGATTTGTTTCTTAGATTAACAGCATCTTGTCAGGACTTTTATTTTTTTGCCAAAAAGTTACTAGGATTTATTGAAAAATTCTTGTGCAGTTTGGACTGCACAACAATTGGATGAGGGGAGGGCCCTTAATATTGGAGGCCCTCCCCTATCTAACCATCTCTATTTTGCAGTCCGGTGCAAAGCAGGGAACTCATGATTTATATAGAATGTAGTAAACTTATGTATGAATTAGACATCTGTTCATTTGTCTGGGTAAATCATTTGATTGTCGTATCTTTGGATTGTGCGAATTAGACTTACAAACTTTCTGAAAAAATATAATAATGAACTTCCGAATTGGGCTTAGCCGTTACTTAAATGATTTCCTGATGATCTTGAATTTATCTTATCTTCGCTTTCTCTGCAGTTTTATAATAGCAACATAAAGATTTATCCAAGTAAATCTTTTGTTGCTTTAGCTTTAAGCCTTTTTGACAAGCTAACCTAAAGGAAGGAAGTTAGTTTTGAGTTTTACATTGTTAAATTTTTCAAAAATTAGCTTAGAGACATTACCCTGAGAGTTGTTTCTAAATGTTATGGACTTCATTCATAAATTTCCCTGGTAGTACCTGTATGAACAATTATAAACCCATAATTTCATATTTCATACCTCAAAAATTGATCTCATGAGTCTTCTTGTCTTTAGTACAGTCTTGCATTAACTCTTAACACTATAATTGATGTATTTATGTGCTTAATAATCAATTACAGGTGCCAGGAAAATCTGCACAGGATTGCTTTGATAAAATCCACTCAGACCTCGTAACTCCACCTCAACCTCGGACTCGATCAAGGGCAATCGGAATGAGCTCCTCTCCCATTGAGCAGTTTTCACTCTCTGCAAGCAAATTGCTTCAATCCACTGAGCCAGAGAAGAAAAGGTCCAGATGCAACAAGCAGAAGAGTCATGTCACTCAGAAAACTGTAAGAAAGTTGTTGCGAAGGCATTATTATGTGAACCAGGATAACGAAGCAGATCTTTTCTCAATCTTTGAGCCTGATGTAGATCCATCTACTCATGTTTTGCCGGACGCTATTCTTTCTACCCCACAACATTCACAGGAAAAGCACGGATGTCTTCATAAGTATCATGAGACATCTTCTGCTGGCTCTAAGAAGAACCTTCCAAGATTTAGTAGTTCATGTACAACTGCTCTTGTTAGTCCCCCAGTATTAAAGCCGGTTAAAAACAAGGCCTTACATGAGAAGTACATTGACCGATTACATTCCAGGGAAGCTAAAAGAAAGGCAGTATCTGTTCAAACAAAAAGGTCTTTTACTGGAAAAGAGAATGCGAGACCAATTCATATTCAGAATACTGACGTGGTTAGAGCCGCAAAACAGGCCCTGGTTTCTGATGCAAGAGATGTTATTGATCAGTTTCAACATTTGCAAACAAATACTACCAGCGACTCTTCAGATTTGGATGATAATGGTGGTGCCAGTGATGATGATAATGAAGGAGATATTGAAATTTAACAACTTTGTTTCGTTGAATCCGTTTCTGCTGCTGCATAGAACTGCTAACTCCAGATCCTGTATATTCTATAAATCCAATTTTCCAAGTGTTGAGACCAAAATTTTTCTATAATAACCTCCTTTGGTAATTATGTGTTGAGATTGCAATGCATATTTTTGCTATTTGCTAGAAGCAAAAAAACAATCTAGGTTAATTTACTGCAACTGCAAGTAGGAAGTATTTGTATCCGTGAAAAGAGCTTTTGGGTTCTAGGATTTGTCTTTCTCATGTACTGAAGTGGATGATGGATTTGTACCTGTTAGCCTTCTTGAATTGGAAGATACAGTTTATCATTCTTGTTACCAAAAATAACAACCATACAAGAATCACACCGTCGGGCATTCTACTGTGAACAGAAAGGCGTCCCGTCCACTGTGCGTTGTTCCCACTCCATCTCTTTTATACCCTTTGAATCGTACTCATTTTTCCCTCTATTATTCTGTGATTCTTCGTGTCGCAATGAAAAATCCGAAGAGCAAACGTGGTTTAATTTTAGACCCTTACAAATTTAGCCTCTACCTGCTAGATTGTTGACAGGGAAAGGTGGAAAAGGAGGACAAGAATAGAGGATTTTTCATATATCAGGATTGATGAATTGGTACTGGCTCATGATCTGTGTCATGGACATAGATTGCACTGCTGCACCATCCCCAGTTTCACGTTCCATTTAATACGTAATATTAGATTTCCCAATATGTAATCTTTGCTCTCCGGATTAGTAATTATTGAATGAGCCTTTGGTTATTAGCAAACAATATATTAGATACTCTTTCAGATTTAGGGATAAGATGTCACCATCCCTCGCATGCCTTAATTCCAATTACTGGGTTGGTTATGCTGATTCAGCAAGAAGACATGAAATAATTGTTCATTGAAGATTATGACAAAAAGGAAGGATGATGAATTGCGAAATCCTTTCTGTATATTTCGAAAACATTCTTTTGCATCCCAAAAAAAAAAAAAAAAAATTGTATTTATTAAACACGTGCATGATAGATGAGGAACTTAATACATAGTTTCACCATAAGATGCTCCAACTTTGAGTAACAACACATGATATGGTTGTCAGATTGTTCTGATGAATGAACAATGCTTATTAGAAATAAATGTTACTAAAACCTCACCTTGGGCCGTTCTATGAAGAACAAATTTTGGAACATCCATATATCTGGCTTTGTTTGGTGCCCGTTTTATTTTCCATCCTTTTGTTAAAGACATCTTCCTCCATAGCCAGCATTTCTGAATAATGCTTGCTTTCTGTCTTTGGAACGTATCAATGTCCTCTGCTCAGCCACCGAAAACCATTAGAAGAGAGAAGAAACCAAAAACCATTAGAGAAAACATACATTAAAGGAAATATTTGTGTTCATTTGAAAGATTTATTTAATTAAACTTCAGAAACATTTTAAGATTTATGGACATAATTCTGAACAAGAGGCTTGCGTAGAGAAATCATTAAAGCAACTAATAACACGTTGTTGAATTTCAAGTCTTAAAACCGATTATTCAGGGTTATCGTACCAAATTTTAATATTTATATTGAGTTGATTAAGAGTTTGAGTCCATAAATTACTTAAATATTTGTACTTAACATATAATTACAGATGTTTTCTTAACTCATAAGTTAAATTCATTCGCTTTTTCTTTTCCCTAAAATTGTCTTTGTTCAAAAAAAAAAAAAAAAATTCAAGTCCTTGTGCTTCCAGTGTGCTCATTGTTGATGGTAGGTTAAATGCTAAATTTGGTCCCTCAACTTTAATGAGTTGCACATTTTTGGTCCCTTAACAAAATTTTACACTTTCTTGATCCTTTAACTATACGAAATGCACTCCGTTAGTCCTTCTGTTAATTCGGGCCGTTAACTTGCTTATGTGACATTTTTTATAATTTTTTTTATGACGTGGCAAAAATAATTTTAAAAAACGTTGATCTGGAATTTTTTTTAAGCCACGTTAGTGCCAACTCACTGCCAACTCACTGCAAACTCATCAACCAATTTTGCCTTAATAAAAAAATAAAAAATTACAAATTTACCCCTCTCCCCTTTTTGATCCATCTTCTTCCCCTCTTTCGATCATCTTCTTCCTTTCTTCTTTTTCTTTTTCTTTCTTCCTCTTCT